CAAACAAACAACAACAACAAAAAAAAAAAACCGACCCCAAAAAAACCAACCAAACCAACCCAAAACCTCTGGAAGAGAACAAACAATCCGACAAAATTCTGGAGGGGGCGGCGAGGGGGGGGGGCGGGAGGGAAGAAGGAGAAGAAGGAGAAGGAGAAGGAGGAATCAGCTGCGCTGGAAGAGCTCTCGCCCTCCTGCTTCCCTGAGCGAGCCTGGATGCTGGCAGGAGCCTCTTGGATATGGGATCATATCTGCTTTATCACAGCCTGGGTTTGATCCTCTGCTGCTCCGTGCTCAGCTCGGTCTACGCGCTGGTGAGTCCCGCTTTTCTCTGCCTTTCGGGATGCGCTGGAGGTTCCTCCTCATGGTTCTCTTTTGCCGGGCAGAGCTGCCGGGGGGTTGGTGTTTTTTTTTGCAGCCCGGTGGTTGTTTCGCTGGCAGGCGCCGTGTGTGCGCTCGGGCTCCGGGGTTGTGCTGCAGCAGCAGCAGCTGGAATTAAAATGTCTGAGCTTCCCCCGGAGTTTGAATCACTTGGAAAGCCCAGAACGTGGGCAGTTTGACAGGGACCCGGCAGCAGCGGCCGGGGATAAGCTAAAGACCCCTGAGGGTAAAGGACAACTTTTCTTTCTTCCTTTTTTTTTTCTTTTCTAGTTTTTCTTTTGCTTTTTATTTATTTTTTTTATTTATATTCTTTATTTTTAATTTTTTTTTAATTTTTCTTTCACTTTTTCTTCTTCTTTCACTTCTATTCATTTCTCTTTCATGTTTTCCTTTCCCTTTCCTTTTCCGTTTCCCTATTCCTTTTCCCTTCCTCTTCCCTCTCCCTCTTTCCCCCTTCCTTTCCCCCTTCCTTTGCCCCTTCCTTTTCCCTTACCTTTTCCCTTACCTTTTCCCTTCCATTCCCTTTCTCTTCCCCTTTCCTTCCTCTTCCCTTCCTCTTCCCTTCCTCTTCCCTTCCCTTTCCATTCCCCTTCCCTATCCCTTCCTTTTCCCTTTTCCTTTCCCCTTCCCATCCCCTTTTGCTTCTTCTTATCCACCCCCTCAAGGCCATTTAATTTTGATTTAATCTCCTTATACTACAAATCTCCTTAATCCCAGTGAAACCAGTGCCTTCTTCTTTGGGATTAAATTTGGGAAGGACCTCAGAGTGCAGGACTCACCTTCAGTTCCCACTCAGGGCCAGGAAAGTTGGATTAACCCTTTGCTCCTTGGCATCATTTTCACCTGTTCCTGCCCACACCAAGGGAGGAAAATGGGATAAATTCCCTCCAAACTGCCCTGCTGGTGGTGATGGAGAAGGGGATGAGATCTCCAGACCCTCCTGTGCAGCCCCAGGTGGTGTCCAAAGCCCCCCTGAAGTGCTGGGACACGTCCTGGGGAACCAGCCGGCAGATGTTGATTTTTTGCTGGTCATCCTGAGGTGCCAGGAGCTTTCCTTGCTTTCCCCATCCCTGGAATCCCAATTTCTCCAGGTTTTCTGGCGCAGGAAGGGGTACAACCACCACCTGAAGCAGTGTCTGCTCTCCAGGAGGATGGAGATGGGTTGAAAAGGGATTGGGATCATCTTCCCCCCTGATTCCAGTCAGATCCTCCCTGACCCTGCAGGATCCACCACCCTGGGCCCTTTCCCTGGGTTTGGAAAGGACTCTTTGGGACCTTGTGCAGGGCTGGGAGGGGGGAATTCCCCCACACTTCCAGCCTTGTGCTGGTGGGAAACAATTCCTCAATGAAAGAGGAGAAGCAGCCCCTCGGAAAACAATCCTTGGGTCACTCCAGCCCTGCCAAAGGTCCAAAGAAAACTCTCAGAGCCCAAGGAAAATTGGGAGAACTGGGAGAAGCCCTTGGAAGTTTGTTCAGGTTTTAGTGATGGTCGAGGTTCCTCCTTTTGTGAGGTGGGAGCAGCATCTCTGGGACCACTTTGGGGTGATTCCTGCAGCAGGGTGGGTCCTGCAGCACCTGCTCCCCCCCTCCCCAGCCCTGCTGCTGAAGGCAATCCCAAAATTCCTGCCCTTCCCGCTGCTTTGGGTGAAAACC